CCTCGGGAAGCTATGCCGTACGAAAAACTCTCACAGAGTTGGCTAAAATTATGGCTAAAACAACTTATTATGCATTGATTGAATCCCACTTAAGATATGGTATTGCGTTTTGGGGAAATTGTACTCAATATTTATTTAGATCAGCATTTATAATACAAAAGAGATGCATAAGATATTTGTGTGGAGCCAAATTAAGGGATCACTGCAAACCACTGTTTTTGCAAGAAAAAATTTTAACACTAAGCTGTCTCTACATCCTGGAAACCGTGTCACTCATTCACAAAAAGTACAAAAATTCATCTCACCCACACTCGTACCAAACTAGAAATTATAATAACATCCCACTCCCTATTCCAAGGACTACTTTAACACAAAATTCCATTATTTATCGTGGAATTAAAATGTACAATAAACTTCCACATAATATTAGAAACTTAGATTCATGCAAGATATTTAGAACCAAGGTTAAGGAACTATTGGCTGAAAAGGCATACTATAGTTTGGATGAGTATTTTGATGACGAACTGTAGATGATTTTAAATTTAATTTTGTGGCATTTTTGATAGACCTTTATTTTAGGTTTGTCTGTTTTATTTATTTATTTATATATGTGTGTATTTCTGTTTTATATATTTTAGACTCATGGCTACTGTGATTGTTGTTTATTGCATGTTCCATATATACCTATAGTTCATACCAAATAAACTTGTAGTTGTGACATCGATGATGCCATTTTTAAAATCGTTATCGCCAACCGTGAAAATATTCGGCGTCGGATTGACTTAATTGGAATTTGAATTTCCCGCTGGCCATTCAGTTGGTAACGACACTTCAAAAAATGTAATGTTGCCAAATTGAATTCTTGACATTTTGAATTTTGATTGCGTTTTGACAGTTTACGAGTTTTTGGTTCAAGTGCTATTAATTGTGAGCTAGTTTTTCAAAGCAGCTTGTAGTGTGAAGTGTACAAGATGTCGAAGCAGCTTAATAGCCGTTGCAAAGAACTAATCGCATCCTTTTTACAATATTTTGAACGAGAACGCGATAATAATAGCCCTTAAATGCTGGTAGGTGGGTGTGATCAAATAGGAATTTTCAATTTGAACTTTATTTTCTCTCATTTTTAGCGCGTAGCAGAAGCTTTGAACTTAAGTATGTCCACTGTCTGTGCTATTTCAAAGAAAGTCAAAAATAACGAAGTTTTGGAATCGCCTTCTAAGAAGCGACGCACTTCGAAGAGAGTCTGTGATGTTTCAAAGTTCGATAGCAGTGCTATACGTAACACCATTTATGATATGTATACAAAAAGTAAATCGTCTGAGATAAAGGTACATAGATATCTATGAATCGCCTTCTTTCTTCTTGTAGAACAACATGTAACATTATTTTGTATTTGGGAGCAATTGAAAGCCAAACAATTATATGATGGCAGTCCCATGTCATTGAGTAGAATGTTAAAAGAAATAGGCTTCAAATGGAAAAAAAGATGACCCAAGACGAGGGCTCATGAAACTGCCTGATATTGCTGTTAAACACATATCATTTTTGAGGTCTTATCTAAGACTTAAGCAGGAGGCTTTGTACCAGTTTGTTTTCTTTCATGAATACAGAGAGCAGTTGTATTATGTGTATAAATGAAATGCTTTTTTTAGATATATCATACTTCATACTGGCAATGAAAATACGATTCATTGAAGGTGCATCGCTGGTACTTTCATCGAAAACTCAACGACTATCATGGGAAAATCAGAATCAGAATAATTGAAAATATTCTTGATGGTCCAAATATTCATAATGTTTAATTATTTATAGTATTTAGAGTGGCTGTAAATAAAAAAGGTACTGAGCGTTACTATGATATTTTAAGTGATGATTGGCAAATGAGTTGTTATTGAATATCTAACAAACCAAGCTTTGAAACAATGTTTATAATTTAGGTAATAAATAATGTTTGCATTATATTATAATATAATCCATTATTGTTTCTGAAAATATTTTGACCAAATAAGGAAAATATGCAAGAGACGGCAACGCTGTGCTGACCGAGCTTGACAACCCAACTATAAGTTTATTTGGTATGAACTATATATACTTTTTGACCATTTTTGACTTAATTTAGATATGTACCTTAAGTAATTTTATTTTTTAATTGGAAGATAGATATTTTAAAAGTCCATTTTATTTATATTTTATCAATATTTTTAAAATTTTAACGTTGATGTGTTATGTTTATCTTTATATTTAATATTTTGTTTTAAATTTTTTCATATTTTTTTGTTGTTGTTTCTTTTTTTTTTTTTTTGCTGTGCTTTTTTTTTTGCCATAGTATTTTTGCTGTGTATCTGTTATTTGCTATTTTTGCTCTTTATTTGCCTACTGTGTACTTTTTATATTTCTGCTTTGTCAATGGAACCATGTTTTTTAGACAATAAAGCATATTTTGACTTTGACTTTGGATAACCATAAGAGATGCAGGTTTATTTAAATTGGGGCAAAGCGAGGGGCAAAGTTACGCAATTTCTTGCTCACCAAAATGCCGTTTCGAAATCTGGAAAATTCTGGATAGGTACTAAAAAAACGAAGCCGTTTTTATTTTTTCCTCTGAGCTTATTTTTGAAGAGATACTTTAAGATGAATTAATTGCACTTCATCGTTGCCATTTTATTTTTTTTTCCACAATATGGCATTTTCAAATTTGAAATCCGAGTTTCGTCTTTGGGCCACCCGACGATCAACTTTATTTCTTTGAATACGGCTCTGGATTTTGTGTAGTTCTTTGCTAGCTGACTTTTTCAATGGAATGGTGTATCAAAACAATTGATAAAATGAACATTTTAGTCAAAAAAGTATAATATAATTTATATGGGGATACTCATTGATACAATTTACCCAACTAATATATTTGTTTTAAATATTGAGTTTGACAAAGACAAATTTATGAAGAAAACAATGTGTTTGACAAAGATGAGTATCTCCATACAAATTATATACTTACTTGTTTAATTGAAATGTTCATTTCATCAATTGTTTTGATACACCATTCTATTAACGAAGTCAAAAACTAACAAAGAACTAAATAAAGAATCCAGATCCGTATTTAATAGTATAAAGTTGATGATGTTGGTCCAAAGACGAAACGTCGGATTCCAAATTTGAGAACACCACATTGTAGAGGAGAAAGAGTGGCAATGCTGAAGTGTCATTTATTTTGAAGTATCGCTTCAAATAAGGGGCGCGTTCTTTTATTCAGCAAGGGATCCATCTGCTGCCAGCATTATGGAACAGACATTCCAATTTTCTATGATCTAGACAAAGAGAGGCTGATTACCGATGGATCCACCGCTGAATAAAAGAAAGCGCCCAAGCACAGGAAAAAAAAATTGCAAAATTTCGTTTTTTTCCGAATACCTCCGGAAGTATTCGGAATTTTCCAGATTTCAAAACGGCATTTTCGTGAGCAAGAAACCGAGAAGGAAACTGTGTAACTTTGCCCCAATTTGATCGAACCTGTATCTATTATGGATACCGAGATCCGCATACTTACTTGCAAATTTGTAACATCCTGTATATGGTACAAACCATTTTAAAAATAATCCATTTACAATATCAAGGTTGACTCATAAAAAAATAACAATGTTTTTAAGCAAATAAAAGCCTAATTTGGAAAAAGTATCTATCTTGTTATTAACTAACAAATTCTTCATTATTTTTCATCTTCTTCCTGTTTTATTAAAACTTTTGTCTTTCACGTCTGTCTGTGATGATTTTTTCTAAATTCAAACACCCGGTATAAGTATACCTATTTAAAAAACTCTGATTCCATAGGTGGCGCAGAGGAAACGCATGTTTCAAGTGTGATGAACAACTTTCAAGAGGGGTTGAAGATGTGTGACCCCAAAGCAGGACGACACTCCTTGACTGACACTATTTTCCGTTATTTATTGAAAATTGCACTATTATCACTTCATTTCGCTGTACCTAATCGAATACCTAATTGAAACAAAATTATCTTGAAGATTAAAAATGTTATGTTTGCTTATAACTATGTGAAAAACATGCGTTTCCTCTGCGCCAAACTGTACAACTGCTCAATCAGAGTAATGTGTATAGGAAAGATCAAAAAACTGGATATTCTTTACACATTGCTTATGGTAATAGTTTTCAATTTGTTATAATTACAAAAAAAAATTTACTTCTATTTTGTTATTTTATTCTAACCCAATTAATATTCCAGAGCTGTTTTCTTGCGTTCACTTTTCTAAAGTTGTATCAAAACAGGTTTTTGAAACAGTATATTCTCGCGATGAACTCATGACGTCACATCAAAATTGGTCAAACCGTTTCGAAATAAAATCCAATCCACGTTTTAAAACCATTTTCTTGAGCCGAGAAGCTATGACGTCATGTGACATTGTTTTAAACCAGTTTTAAAATATTTGACACATGAGAAAACACAATCCTTCACAATCCTTCACAATCCTTACACAATCACTCACAATAATGACATAATCAGTCACAATCACTCACAATCATGACAGAATCAGTCACAATCGCTCACAATCCTTATACAATCATTCACAATCGTACACAATCACTTACAATCGTACACAATCGCTCACAATCTTAGCAAATTTCCTTAAAGATTGTGGAATTTGGCAGTCGGTGTACACATTTTGGGTCAGCTATTCACCCCTCGGAATAAACGAACCTAAGATTCATGACACGCACCCCAGAGCCATGACAATACTACTTTTGAACTAGTAGATACCTCTAAAGTGTTGTTCCTTCCTCTATGTAAAAAGTAAATACCTCAGTTATTACATAGTAGCATATGCTACGGAGAGTAGTAAATGCTTTGTTAGTGTAGTAGAAACATCAAGAAAGTGTTAAATACTTGAAGCATTAGCATATACTACTTTTTTATGCATTCCATCCGATAATAATTATTGCTCAACAATCAATACTTATTATAGATAAAATCAATATTTTAAATTACTCACCTTCAGTTTCAACTCGTAAATTCTTTTTAACATGATGAAATTTCGATATATCAAACTTGGACAAATTATTTGGATCTTGCAATACAATAATATCCTTTCTCTCAAATGGCTTATCATTTATCAAATCTTTCCAATTCTTAGTCTTAATATTTAACTGTTCTATTGCTTCCATATAATACACATTGCCAGTAGTAGCAATAGCAGCCACATGTGAACTGTTGGTAATCGGTTTAAATAGTACTGGACATTCCAATTCTCCCTGGGCATTGCGCTTCAAGTCTAACTGAATCAAAGAATGAAAGTCCAGTGGTTTACCAGTTACAGGATTGATTTTGTACTTTTTTAGAAAAGGGATCAAGGGGTCCAAATCGAAAATATTGCCATCTAGATCACAAAAAGGAGTTTCGTAGGGCAGTAAAGACAAACAGCAGTGGTCAAACGGGAGTCTTCTGAAGTTTTGTTCTTCTTTTGATTGGATACCAGTTTTTTTGCCACCGTAGAGTGTTGTCCATTCGGTGTAGGTAATGTACATTTTGTCTTTCTGATGCTGGCGCTTCCCCATGATTTATTTTATTTATTCTTAAAAAATCAAATAAACTTTAACAACTTAAATATTTAAGGTTTACAAGAAAAAATCAACAACGAATGGCTATCGAAGTTTGAAGTTATTTCAAAGTCAATGTCAAAAACAGATCACAACCCGTGCGTTCGGTATTTTGATCTAACAGCGATTTCCATTTGTCGAACCAGTGCAAAAAAATGTATCCTTATCCTTACATGTTACAGGCTTTTCGAAAAAGATGCCGATACACTCAGTGCGCACTGATTGACAAATGGAAAACGCCATAAATTCTCCAAGTTCGAATTATTTAACGTTCGTTTATTTGAAAAGTATACTCGGTGCAGGCTCATTTGCGTTCGTTTAATAAGTCCGGTATTCATAAGCCGCTTCCCAGCTGACGCTTTTGAGCACGCAATCGAGCTTTTGCGCGCGCAAATGCTTCAAGCGCGTGATCGTGTTCCAGCCGTACTACGCTTCGAGAGCTTTAACTTTTGCGTTTCAAACACAGAACACTGTGCTGCACCATGCTTGAAGCACACAGCTGAGCCGCTTTCCAGTATGGGAGTGTGACGTCCGGAGCTACTCGGGGCGTTGAGCCCCCGAGCTGTACGTACGCGTCAACCTATCAGCTGTCACATCCGCGGGTGGCTATTTATCTATTTATTCCTTGTTATATCTCAAGACTGAACATTTTAATAGTATATTATGATATAAGTGTATAAGAGGGCATTTAAAGCACGCGCGACATATTTCAAAACACTACGCGCAGCGGAGTGTTTTGTTAGTCGCAAGGGCTTTAAATGCCCTCTTATACACGCATATCATACGCTATTTTTTATTACGAATGCATCATAATCTCAAAAATGTTTTTGAAGTGTTCATTCATTTTGATAAGTAGTAATTTAAATGGCAGGTATGCAGGTAAATATCTAGATAATGAAGGTAGATCGAACGTTTCTATAGCAAACCTTTGAAAAGGTAGACGCATCATAAACATCATTTTATGCACGCTGCAGCGTGCGATAATCGTTGATTATGATGCATGCGTAATAAAAAATATATAGTTTTGATTCTCTTTCATTTTTGATAAATAAAAAAACAAACTGCACAAACAAACAGATAATTATTTTTAAAATTTGACTTATTTGACACTAAGACAGGCGTCTCACGCCATGATACGGGAACGGTACAAATCTAGTGCGTGGCGCCCCCGAGGTGCTCTGGAGCGCGCCAATGTGCATACTGGAAAGCGGCTATAGAAGGGTGCGTGTCTCAAGCTCTGATTTTTGACAGTTGTGAGCATCGTTCCGTGCTGTTTGGAAACGTAAAGATGACGTCAAGTCGTACTTGAGCCAAGACGCAACCTTGAGCATCGACTATGAATACGGGCCTAACATTTCTGGCACACTGATACCCTTGCTCTAATACAGCGTTCAACTGCTCTGTTCGCTCTCTGGTCACGTGATTACGGCTCTGCTCAGTACGCTCTGCTCTTTGAGCAAAATACCGAACGCAAGGAAAGAGAGTGTTCGGGTCTAGGCTAATATTTACATACTACTACTACAGGATAGCCTATCCTCATAAGGCATGTGTGGAACAAATCTGAAGCCCCCCACCAAGCCAAAACACCAGTTGTGACGCAAGAACGAAAAACCACAAGAGGATAGTTGCTTCTCGTAAGCGTCACATTCGCCAAATCTAACCGACCGCAAAGGTCAATGACCGGGCGCGTGACGTACTCCGGCCTACTCAATCCAAAGAATTGGTATTAGTTATATCGACATTACTCTGTAATGAAAATTCGAGAAGTTCAATATAAAATTTGTCGAAATTTATTGCATTAAAAGCCAAAATAGCATCATTGATGGCTACCATGTCATTCTGCTATACCAATAACGCATAAAACTTGTTTCGAGTGGGCCAGGTAACGTCACTACAGCGGCGCCCGCACGCGCTAAACTGGCAGAAAAAAATCGCCGATGTGACCATCCTCTGTGGTTTATCGTTCTTGGGCTCAACCAACCGTTGCGAAGATACCTTTGTATAAATATCTCATTCCAAGCACTCTGTGACGTCATACGCACAAACTGAGTCGGCCAGCCGGCTATATATAGTATCGACATATCGAATTGTTTTTGCGTTTTCACCCACTCCCCAGCAACGATTCCTATAGTAGAGAGTCTGAAATCACGAATAGTTCATTGAAGAATAATGATAATATCTGAATTGTGTGTTTTGGAGTGACTCCGAAGAGCTCTAGAGCGACACGTTCGGTGTAACTCGATGTATAAGGTTCGTTCCAACCCAGCCAAAAACCGTTCAATGTACGGTCACGGTCATGCGCCATAGGTTAAACGCGTTCCAACCGAGAGATGATCGTTTACCGTACAGTTTCGTTGGCGTTTCAACCAAACCTGGGATCGTTCGAGAACTGGTTTTAGCACCGTCATTTCGATCCCGAGTAGAAAGCAAGAACCGCGTGCACTGATCCATGACTGACATGCGTAATTCAATTTTTGTCACCTGTTGTTGTTCATGTTGTTGTTAAACAACCAATTTCCAATCTAACTTATAAAACTGTAGCATTTTTATTTTTTTCAAGTGAAAAAAAGTACAAAATTTATTATCAGCTATTTGCTAATCCTTGATGTTATCAGCTTGCAAGGATTCAGTTTCAGATTCTTGATAATGAATCAGCGTTGGTGTTCGATTTTCCTTTTTTATATATTATTTTGTAATCCTAATCCTATATTCTTCTATTTTAATTTGCGAACAAACAAATTTAGGGTTAAAGTTATTTGAATTGTCGTCAAAACGATCATGAAACCGTTCCAACTACCCGTTATTTCTGTACCAAGATAAAACCGTGCAAGGTCAACGCATGCGCATTCAATCGATCCTAACAGTTCCGAAACCGTTTCATGACGATACGAAAACGGGGGGTTGGAACGAACCTATAAAAGGAATACATAATTAGTTGTATTCTTTTCACACCTAGGAGGAGCACCGGAACAGCTCCGGGGCGTTACGCGCTTACAAGGATATTACACACTACTAATACACAGGATAGCCTATCCTCATAAGGCCTGTCTCGAAGAAATCTGAAGCCCCCCACCAACCAAATCACTAGTTGTGACGTTGCAGCATGTCGTTTCTTGCCTTGACGTAGGCTGTTTGCACCACAGGTTATCATTCCGCGGGCTTTTACTCCATAGTTGTATTCCTTTCAAGAGTTTGAAACACTCGAGCTACTCGCTCCGGTGCTTAGAAGCCCCCGATTTGCAGGGAACAGATGCGTGGTGCAACAAACACTTTTCGAAAGGAATAAGCACGTGAAGCCCCGGAGCTGTTCCGGAGCACCTCCTAGGTGTGAAAGGAATACAACTAATGAATTATGAATACTTGTTTCTACTACACAATTTTTACATAGAGAAATGTCAGTTTAAGAAATACTTAAGCGACGGCCCTATGTCAATCAAATTTAAATACTTTTCATCATAAGTTTAAATTCTAAACTACAACCGCTAGTGCAAACAGCTGAGAGCTTAGCTATGACGTCGGAAATGGTGGCACACCAATATGGCGGCGATTAACAAAAACGAGGCCGATAAGCAATCCTTAGGCCCAGTTGTACAATCTCGGTTTAAAACAAAGTTTAACTGAACTCGACTAGTACTTGAGCTTTCCCATTTGAAATACATTGCTGTAAGCTATTAATCAAATTCTATCATTTTTGACAGCAATGCATTTCAAATCGGAAAGTTCAAGTACCAGTCAAGTTTAGCTGAACTCTGTTTTGAACCAAGATTGTACAACTCGGCTTTAGTAGTGTGTATCATCGTTGACGCGCTTATTCCTTTCGCATAATCTTTTGCTGGATTATGTGATGTGTCATTTGTGTCATACTCCCCGAACTCCTCCACCATCAAATTCAGGGATACTCAAGGATCTAACCGGTAGTTGTCCAAAAATTCCGGTAAAAGTCAGATGCAAGTCCGGTTACAAGATCTCTCTGGTGCATTTTGGAACGCTTTGGTGTCAAAGTTTGGTGGTGTTGCTTATTATTTTTTGGAATGGATTTTTTTGTGGGATGCAGTGAGGTTGGTATGTATTTTTATTATTTTTAACAGTCAACAAACGGTAGTTTTCAGTACGATTTTTTGTAGATTATGTGAGCTGAGTATTTGGTTTGTCGATTTCATAATGACGCCCACGCACAAACATTTTTTTATTCTGCCATCTGCAAGCAGCAATTTAACAATAGACTGCCAATAGTGCCCATTCAAAGCAATTAAATTAATGTACGTAAAAAAAAAAAGTGTCAATAAACCTTCAACCGATAAAACCGACAAAAATTCCCGGTGGATTCGGTGCCTCACCGGCTTTAAACAGCTGATCATTCCGCTCAATTTTGGAACGAACGATCGGGTTTAACCGGTAAAAAGTCGGTACATTTTGGAACGGTTTGGTGAGTAAACTATTAAACCGGTATCGCACCGGTTCAGAAACCGGTGAATTTTGGAAAGTGCCCATACTGACTCAATTTCTACTGTGAGAACAGACCGAATGCCGAATGTCACCTTTTCTACATTTAAAATCGACGAAAAAATTAACTCACTAGCACAGCCTGAATAGCAAGCATTCCATTGAGGTCTGCGGGTGACGCCATCACCATAAGCTGCTGATAGTGATGTCACTCGCAGGCCCAGAATTTGATGGAGAGGGAGTTAGGGGACTATGACAAGATTGACGCAACCCAGCATAATCAGATTTTGCTTGATTATCCTCGCGAAAAATCGCCTAGTATTGGTCTTAGAAGTCGTACAGCTGTCACTGTCAGTGCTTTTAATAGAGGTCGTATTTTCGAATTTATTCGAGTACATTTCGTACACGAAATTCGATTGACAGCAATGCAAATTAAATGGGGACCATTCGAAATCGTATCAAAATTCGTATGCGAGAATATTCGAAAATATGACCCCAGGCAGTTTTTGGCGCGAATAATCAAGCATAATCTGATTATGTGATGTGTCAATTGTGTCATACTCCCCTAACTCCCTCACCATCAAATTCTGGGCCTGCGAGTGACGCCACTTTCAGCAGCTTATAGTGATGACGCTACCCGCAGACCTCGATGAAATGCTTGCGATTCAGGCTGTGCTAGTGAGTTAATTTTTTCGTCGATTTTAAATGTAGAAATAGTTATTTACCTAACTAGTGCGGAAAGAGGTACTTGTCCGCACGAGACGGTAGTTGCCGTCGAGGGTGGAAAAGACATTTTCCGCAAGAGTTAGGTACAATGTTTTTCCTACGATTGTTTTTGTCCATATTATTTATCAA